CTCTCTCTCTCTCTCTCTCTCTCTCTCTCTCTCTCTCTCTCATACACACACACACGCACACACAAAGCCACCTTGAAGCACTAATAAATGCCCTGGTCTATCTTCTAGCAATTAGATTCTGGAATAGCAGGTTGCAGCTGGGCCCCAGCCCAGCATGGCAGGCCCTGGTGCCCCTCAACCAGACCATCTCATCCAGCATTTCTCCACCTGACTTCATGAAAATTAATCCTGCTGGCATTCTGTGAGACACTGGAGGGCCTGATGTACCCAGGACTGTACCCTGGCTGGCACATAGAGTGGTGTAAAGGAGACCAGGGAGAGGAGGATGCTTGAGAACCAAGAGGTTTGACCTGTGAGCCTGGCCAGCTTGCTGAACCTTCAGCACACAGCCTCAGTCTCCTCATTTGTGAAATGGGAGGTCTTCGGCTTTCTCCTGCATTTTCTTGTTCCTATCAGGAATGTCATTTTAATTTAAGTCAGTTTTTCAAGTCTTGTCCCTTGTGAAATGAAGTAGTTTATTTTCTCATGAAAGAAAATAAAAATATCAAAGATGGGGAGGAGTCTTTTAGGGAGTAGATGAAGGATTACTGTTCCTTTCTTTGCTCTCAAAATGTTCTTGCTATTTTTCTCTTTAAAACAAAGTATTATTGTTTCTGAGATAGTACTTGAGTACATCTATGTCTGACTATGTGTCTACGCATCCAGTCCTCTTGGCTGTTTCTGGTATTGGATGCTCTGTTTCCCTGAGGCCAGGGTCACATATCCTTATTCAGTTTGCTAACCCCAGAGACAGCCTGAGAGACCCCTGGTGTCTCACAGGCTTTCTGTTGAAAGGATACCGCAGGTGAGTGAACAGCTCTAAGTACAGGAGAGCAGGATTCGCACTTGATTTCTTCAGCCTTTCTTGTCCTGCTTTTTTCACATCCATGACCTCTGAGTGGGTGGCCGATGACTCAACTGCTAATGAATTTCCTCATCAAATGGAGCAGCAAATGCAGTTACAGGAAAAGGCAGGTGGCCCAGCAGGTGGCACCAGGGAAGGTGCCCTCTCTGGAAAGATCCTAGGAGCAGTTTGGTGGAAGAAGAACTGGGGGACTAGGGAGATCACCAAAGGTACCTGGAGGGGCCAGTGATGAACAAGCCTGGAGACGCCAGCAGATGGGGAAGGTATGTGGGTTCCAAGGAACACATCACAACACCAATTTGCTGGAGGAGGGACTGGAGAAATAAAGTGATGAGAGCCACTTCATGAGGACTAGGTCCTAGGTTCCAGGAGTGACTGACTGTATAAGCAAGGATGGAGGACACATGTTAGCTAATCTTGAAAGAAATCTCAGTGCCCAAATCAGTCTACATCAACAGCTACAAGCAGCGCCACCCCCCTCCCCAACAGCCTGCTGTCTCCACTCCAACCTACACCATCCCACCACTGCTGTAAACCTTGCCCTTTTAAGCAGGTGGTGGGTGGAGATGGAGGTGCTGTGGAACTTGCCAAGTGTCCTCCCCGTGCAGACTCTTGCAGAGCGCCTGGGGTGACCTTTAAACCCGAGATTTTCTTGATATTTATAAAAGCGCTCCAGCTTCCTCCCCCGGACTAAAGTCTCCCTGGGCTCACCCTGGAGATGGGTGCCTCCTGCTGGTGAAAGGTAACTACGCATCTAAACTGCCCTCTCCAGATTTCACAGGTTAAGAGCAAACCAGGAAGAAATGATCTTGAGACCTGTAACAGCTAACACGTACTGAGTGCTTCCTACATGCCAGGAGGTCCTGAGGTGAGCTGCCACGGCACTAACTCTTAGCAATAGACTGCCTCAATAGATTCGGGATTTATAGGCATTATTGATGTGGGTTTGCAACACAGTTAAGGTAGTTATTTCAGGAGTTAATGTTAAAGCTCAGCTGTTTTGAAGGGTGCAAACTATTCAACTCAACAAATATGAAATACTTAGTTATTTGCAAGATCTTGGCAGGAGACTATAAAAATGGAAAACAATGCTACAAATAACAAAATTATAATAACTCACAGTGTGGTATAAGTGATAAGAACTAATGTTATTTGTAACCATCACAGTACAAGTACAGTGTTCTAGAAAAATGCTGTGGGAACACAGGGAGGAAACAGAATTTCTGGCACAGAGTGAAGATGGTAGAGACAGCAATGCAGATCCAACAGGGCTTCTGGGATGGGTGGCTTTGGAGCTGGGGCGATGGTGGAGGAGGATGGAGATGGGGGAAGGGAAGCTTGATCTGGTGGTGACAGTGGCAGCAGAGGGGAGGGGTCTGGGAGACCAGCAGGTGGGTGAGGCTGTGGGAACTTAAGTGGGGGAAGCTGGGAAGTAAGTGTGGGCCAGGCCACTCAGGGCATAAGGAGTTTGAATTGTATTATAAATATTGAGTTGGATCAGGAGGGGTGAAAGTAATATGTATGTCTGTTAGTGCCTACAAGTTTGTGAGCAGGACACTTTTAGGGAGAGGCAGAACATACCTAACTATCAGAGAGCACTTCCAAGAAGCTCAGAGGGTGCACTGACCAGTGCTGCCCGGCACACCTGTCCGCATTTCCCCTCACCAGACACTAGAGCCCTCGGGGAGACAGGCTCGAATATGAAGATGATACCATGATGTCCCACATAGCTGCTCTGGAGGGTGGAGAGACCAGAGCTATGGACACAATGATGATATCAGCTAATGCCTGTTCATCACCTACTCTATCTCATGCACTGGTGCTGATGCGTGGTAGAGCAAGTCTCATTTTATCTCCATCATGATCCTTTGTAAGGTACTTATCATCACCCCTGCTTACACAGGAGGAGACTGAAGCACGGAAAGGCTAACTAATCTCCCTGAGGCCACACAACTAGCCTGTGGCAGGGCTGGAATTCATCTGTCTGCTCATCCTGGGGGTAGTGACCACATCAGCTTATCAGAATGCTTAGCTCTGACTAGAGGCCAGCAAGGCCCTGAGGAAACCTGACACAGGATGAAAGGACATGGACGAAAATATCCAGGACAGGACGTCTCTTGGAGGAGAGGGTCCCAGAGTGACGCGCCAGCATGCGAGGAGGATCCCTGACCTGGAAGGTGGGCAAGCTTCCCGGGAGCATGTGCAGCAGTGTGTGCGTCCTCCGTGTAGACAGCGTGCAGAGTGCACATGCAGTGTGCATGTGCCTGCAGTGTGTGAACACGCATGTAGCATGTGTATTGTGGGTATGGTATGTGCAGCATGTACAGTGTGTGTAGAGTATGTGTGCGTAGCCTGTGTGCAGTGTGCAGTGTAGGTGAAAATGTTACCTTCTGATTGGTACTTGAAATTCCCATATGAAAGATTTATTTCCTCTCCACTCTCTTCATGAGCTAACTCATTAAGTCATGATTGTAATTAGAGCCTCTCACGGGATTATTTTCCAGCAGGGCCACTGCTGGGAAGAAAAAGGATTCACTCGGCACAGCCAGTGCCGTGTGTGTGTGTGTGTGTGTGTGCATGTGTGTGTGTGCATGTGTGTCCCCAGCAGGCCTTTGTGAAGGGCACATCTAACCCAACATGTGGTGATGATAACTCATACTGCATGCTTCATAGACACTTTCACTCACATTATCTCAGTTAATCTTCCCAAGGACACCAGCAGAAAATGGACTCAAGGCCTTTAACATAGAGAACAACAGCAACAAACAAGGTGAGATTCAGTGAGGGCAGTTAATACATCTGAGGTTACAGAGCTTGAAATAGTGGATGACTCTGTACAGGTAGCCACCAGGTCCTATGATTTAATGGATTACTTTAAACATCCCATATTTAAGTACTACGTCTTATCTCCATCAGATCCAGCAATTCTATTCCTTGGTTTACCCCAAGGTAATCAAAACATATGCCCCCCCAAAAGTGTATACAAATATTCACAGCAGTGTTATTCATAACATCCCCAAAGTAGAAAGAACCTAAACGCTCATGAACTGATGAGTGGATAACGGAGATGTGGTTTATCATCAGAATGGAATATAACATTATCCTGTTGTGAAAAGGAGTGAAGAATCAATTCATACCTCAATACGAATAAAACTGGAAACGAAAACAGCCAGACACAAATGGCCTCATGTTGCCTGATTCCATTCCATCCATTTATGTCAAATATAAATGCACTAGGCAAATTTAAAGTGACAGAAAGCAGAACAGTGCTTGCCAGGACCTGGAGGGTGGCAGAGAGGAGAAGGACTGCTAAGAAGCATGCGATTTCTTGTTGAGGTGATAAAAATGTTCTGGAGTTGTAGTGGTGATGGTTGTCTATTTTGGTATATGAATTTTACTTGAAAAAAAAAAGAATTCAGAGATACAACTAAAAAGCTGCATTCCTTACATGGCACTGAATTCTTTGTTCTCTTTGCCTTGCTGTCAGAGAAGCATCTGAGTTGAGAAATGCTTTTTAAAAAGACAAAGGCCTTACCACAGCCACTGGTCATTCTCACCATAGAGATTTGGTTTAATGAGATTTTACTTTTCTCAACTTCTCCAGGACATCACTCAACACTATATAAAGAAAGACTGCTGGGAAGCCCAGTATGGTGACACACATCTGTAATCCTAGCATTTTGGAAGGCTGAGGCAGGTGGATCACAAGCTTGAGCCCAGCCTGGGAAACTGAGTAACTTAGTAAGACCCTATTTCAATATAAAAGTTGTAGAAAGTGCTGGGATATATAGCTCAGTGGGAAGATGCTGGTTTAATTCTGAGTACTGCAAGAAAGAAAGGAAAGAAATAAAGAAAAATAAAGGAAGGAAGAAAAAAGAGAAGGAGAAAGAAAAGACAAGAAAGAACAGAGCAGAACAGGACAGACTGCTTAGGAAAGGACAGCCAAGACTTAACTGTCCAGGAGGAGGAGCATAGTTGAGAGGCCCAGGTTTGGTAGATGCAGGGATCTTGATGCCAGCTGGTACCAGCGCCAGTTTAGCAGGGTTCCTCAGGGGTTCCATAGGGTCAGCTCTGAGGACATTGTCCAGCTGTTTTGACTTTCTGTTTTCCCTTGGCTAGGTCCCACAGTAATTTATAACAGATTTTCTTTTGTTATTTGCCCCTGAACGAGGGTAGGACAGCATAGTACAGACTATGCCTTAAAGAATTCATGTCCTGCTCAGCCATGACCTGAGGCGACTTACTTAACCTCTTTGTGCCTCTGTTTCTGGTCAGTAAAATAGCAATAAGAGGAGTACTCATCACCCCAATTAATTGATATGAGAATTACAGGATTAGTATGCCTGGAGTGCTTAGAACTGGGTGTGCCACTAAGCAAGGGCTCATAAGTACTTGCCATTACTAATAATTTGATGAAGACTAAGCAATAGGTTCATGTTTGTAAAGCTCACTGATGGTATGAATTACATTTCCTTCTCTTTTCCGTGGTTTCTCAGTTCAGAGTTACCCATGGTTTGCTATCAGCGAGGAAAAGTTTAATTTCAGCTACACTTGTTACAGTCAACCCAAAACAATGACTTATCTTGTACGTTACATAGTACTTCTGTTCCCTGAGGGAACTAAAGTTTCCAGATGAGCAACACTTTTGTAATCCAAAACATATTCAGAGGGAAACAGCCACACTGGTAGGAGGTACAGAGCTGGGCAGTCTTGTCAGGCAAGGTTCTGGGAAGTTACAATTTGGGCATGAAAGCCCTGGGTGAGCCTTGTATTTCAGCAGTTCATTCCAAATTTATGAAGTATAAATCATTTATGAAATATAGTGGATGCTCAAGACTTTAGCTTCCACTGCAGCATCAAGGGACCCAAGGATTTTCTGAAGAACTTGGGGCAGGTATTTGTCCAAATTTGCAGGACTGTTGCTGTGTAAGAAAAGGGACTGGAGAGCATGTCTCATGACTCAGAGTCCCTTGCCAATGGCTGTGGTCTTTAAAAGGAATTCCAGGCCCATGTACTGCTGGAAACTTGGCAGTGAGATGTGAACGAGACATTCCTGAGCTGTCACTTGGCAACATTTCCCTGACAGAGCCCAGCAAAGCTATGAAATCAACTGGGATGGCCAAATAAAAAGGCCTGTGACAAAGTATTGCTTCTTGCCAAGCAGATACAGCTAGGGGGAATCTACCTGGATCAGAGATGAGGACCAGTCTTTCTGAAGCACCTTGTGCTGGCTCTGGGCTTCAAGCCACCATGCCTGGATTTCATATCAGTACCTGAGCAACAGTCTTGACTGACATTTTGAGCCTTCAGCTTATGTTACAGTTGTATTTCAGCAGAGGTGAAGTCTGTTAACAGGAAGCTGTGTTACAACAGGACAGCTCCTTTTTAAGCACATAGGAGAGCTGCGTGATTCATGGAATCAGGGTTGATGTGGTGCCCCCAGATGTGAAGAGGTGAAGCCGAATGTACTAGATTAGGAGGTCACTGTAGGCTGACAGTGACCCTGACAGTGTTTTTCAAGTGTGACTGCTATGCTTTAGGTCACAGCTGGAAAATGTTTGAGTGGAACATACTGGGCAGCTGCACAAAATAGAAAAGTGGCTGATATCAGGCCCTGGTAGGATGGGACAATGGAAGGCCAGACAGGTGCTGTGTGCAGCCCCAGACCTGGTGTTGGGATGGTGGCCCCAGTGTGTTACAAAGACAAGGGGGTGTGTAACAATCTGACCCAAAGTTAGTAGCAGTACCCACAGAGGACCGTGGCCACATTGTGAAGACACCAGGGCTCCTGGTCAGGCCACTCTGCCTTCAGACCACCGCCAGCCATGGAAACTTTTCTCGTTGTCCCTTTGGCTTCCCAAGGAAGCAAAGGACTAAAAAAGGCATTCCGCCTTTTTAGGTGGCTGGGATGTGGCAATGCGAGATGCCTGTCCCTGGCTCCTGAAGGAGTACCCTTTGGATCTCACAGAGGGCTCTAGAATCACCTCATTCCTAGTCCTTAGGCCTCCCAGACTCCAGACCTCACTCATGGGACAACAGAACACATTCCCGAGTCACCCTGCAAAAGGAGGCTCCAGGAGGCTCTGCCTGCCTCCTGACCCCTGGGATAACCTTTCTTCGTCATTCCTCAGTATTGCAAAAGGAAAAACCTACAAAGTTTTGACCCAGCACAGACCTGGCTGCATATATGTGGGAGGGCGCTCCCAGGGCTCACAGGCCTTTGCACCCTCACATGACTGACTCTTCCCATTTTCCTCCCTAGCTTCTCTGAGCCCCTAAAAGGCCTCAGGACAGGAAGCCCAATTCCCTGGTGGCTCTGGGGAGGCTTTCTGTGGGGTTACTCGGCTTTTGTTTTGTTACCACAAGCATTAGAGGCCATGGATATTGAAAAGATACTTGCACTAAAGGGAAAAGCCAGAGATAGGATTTTACAGTTACAAACCAACAGCCAGAGAGAGCGAGGTCCTGATACCTAAAGGTGCAGAAGGAGGAGGACACAGGGGCAGCTTGGCCCAGGAAGCCCTTGTGGAAAGTTAAATGAATTCCTTTATTGCATACTCCCTCCCATGTGTCTTTAGCTGCCTGTGTATTTTCTCTTCCTGAATCTGATATTGTAGCAGTTTTAAGGCCATTCCCCTCAGCATTAAAATTGTTGAAAGAAACAGAAGGAAAAGCAAAAATCTAGGTCAGTGTTGCTTCTATCTTGAATATGTGAACAGTGTTTAGAAGATGCTTAAAAGAAGAACCAATATGACAGGCCATGTATTATCATTCCTTTTATAAGAAGATTGAAATTGCTGCATTCTAAAACAATGATTTTTTTTTTGCAGATGAGCAGTTACTGGACAGTCAGTAATCAGTTTATCTACGTCTAGTATGAGACTATCCCAAGCTCCTGTGTTTGTGGTGACCACTCAGGCCCTCATCATCCCTTTGAGCTCACCGAGGCAGCAGCAAGACCAGGAAGTGGAGTATCTTTGCTCTCTACCTACTTCAACTGCCCTCTCATTTGGTGGCAGACTGTTATGTTTTTCAGCCGTGCCACTTTCCTGCAGAAAAGTGTCTTATCACCAGTGCCACAGGTCCCAGCTCTCCTTAGGGGAGCAGAGCCTGTTGGTACCCACACTACACTGCTTCTGGAAGTCTTTCTTTCCATGACTTCAGGCCTGTGACCGCACGTCCCCCGTCTGCTGTACCCCCTCTGCCTTGGTCAGTGCCTTCTCTTCCAGAAGCTTCCCTGTCTTGACCAGAAGGAGGCTTCCTTTTCAGCCTCCATGTTGTCACTGATCTCATTGTGCTGGGCTGACTGAGCTGGTCAGTGTACTGGCCACGAGAACCATTGTATTATGAGCCACCTGCCCCCCACATGGCATACCTCTGACCAATGCCAGTGACTCTGAATGATGGGAAAGCTACTAAGTGTGATTAAAAAGAAAAACCTACCCACAAAGCTGTTTCACAGAGACGGTGAGATGGAAATTCTCATTGTGTCTTTGAGTCTATGAAGAGTGTATGGTCTCTGTACTGGCTAATAAACACTGGAGATTTTTGAGTCTTGAAAAGCAGTTTGGTTTTATGAAGCAACTTCTGTCCTGAATCTGAGCTTAGAACAAATGCTTCTGCTGCCGCTTCAAATCTGGCTACAGGGATCTAAATTCAAACCTTATTCTGTCAACTACCCCTTCTTTCCAAGATGTATTATTGCATATAAAACAATTCCAGAGAGTTACTCATGAAAGATGCCCACTCCTTATTGAACTGGAGCTTCACTTTATTTAACTAGTATTATCTTGCCATCAACAAACACTGTTGATTTCAATGTAACATCCTTTGTCAATGAATTAACAAATAACAATTTGCTTAACTTCCTCAAGTATTGTCTGGGCTGTTGCTCTGTATGCCGAACTATGATTGTTCTTGTTCCCAGACTAAATTCAGAAATATACCGCGTATGTTCTTGAAAATGTGATGACTCATTTTTCTCTTCCAGGCAAGTATTTCTTTCTAATGAAACTTTAAAAACTATGGTAAGAACACTCTATAACATGACCTTCTATGATCTATTCCCAGCATTTGGAGGAAGATGTAAAAACTATCCAGAAAGGGACAGAGGACACACACATGGGGAGAAGAGAGAGGTTTAGATTCTTGGTTAGAATCTAGGATCTCAGCTCTTAGGTTCAACAGATGTCACCGTCCTCCCTGCACAGTTTTCAGTTGAGATTTCCAAATAAATATTTTAAAACTTAGAAATGTATGTTCATTTTAGAAAACAATAACATGAAAGCTTAATAGACAAAAACCCAAATCTAAAAGAATGTTCACATTCAAAAGAGTTATTATTAACATTTCTAACATTGTAAACATCTGCAAAATTTTCCAGACATTCAAATAAATGTATTCTTCTGGAACTCTGCATAAACCCAAATAGGGTCAATCAATAAGCATTGTTTTGAACAATGGTCTTTCAGTGGGTGACGATTTCTAGTTCCCTTTGGGATGGAGGGTTGCCATCCATGCTCCATCTCCAGTAGCTTTGGGGTGCCTGACCCACATCAGACTGAGGTTTGCCCTACTTACCAAGATCTTCGTGGTGGTGACACCATTGCAGCTTTCCCCTTGGGGTGCTCTTGGACACCGGGGACCAGGCATGGGGTGGTGCTGCTTCAGGGTGGGCAGTGAGCTAAGCTTAGAGTCTCACTGTCAAACTAGGCCAGGGCTTTCAGAATGTGCCCATTCCAGGCAGCAGCGCTGTGAGAAGGCTGTTCTGAGAAGAACCCAGGCTCTGCCCGCAAGTGCTAGCTAGTCTCTCTGCCAAATGGCTAGAAAGTAGCAACTCCCACCCCCCCACAACCCCGCTATCCCACAGCCCATGTGGCTGCAGGATTGTCAGACAGGCACCTTCCTTGCAGAAAGCTCCATCCACAGTTGGACCCTCTTACCGTATGGTGCAGGAAATGAAGAGCTATGCCTTCCTCAGTCTTGTCACAGGGACAGCAGTGGCTGTAGGAGTGATCACTTTTTATAGCCTGCCCAATTGGTTCTGCTGCATGCCACTCTCTTGAAGGCAGAGCTGCCGCTTCTCTCCCTTGCTGGGCAAAACCTTGTAAATGGAAAGAGAAAAGCTAATATATGACATAATTTCATCTGAGAATTTGAACACATTGATAGTTTCAATATTTTTCCTTATGAATACCAGCTATTGGAATGATTTGACTCTCAGAATATATGTATCTGTCAAGAACTTTTAATTTGTAACTGTGTTAATCTTAGATAATCCTGAAGAATTTTTTTCACCATTTTTTTTTTTTTTTTTGGTACTGATGATAGAACTTGGGCCCTTGAGCTTGCGAGGCAGGTGGCGGAATCAATGAGCCAAATCCCTGGCTCGATCCTGCAGAATTTAGACTTAGTTGCAAATTTGAAACTTAATCTGGCCCAAATTTCCTATTTTTTAAATGAAGTTAAGACAAAACAAACAAACAAAAAAAAGGACAAGAATAATTTCCTCAGGGTCTTGGAGGTCTTCCCCATAACTCATTCTGTTATAATTGGGTCCATATGCAAGAACCTTAGTTAAGATAAGCTCCAGGGGAAGAACGGTTACTGCAGGTCATTCAGGAGAGTCTGGTAAGCAAGCATCCTGATTTGGGCTTTTGGAATTTTCTGGGGCAGGCTTAGGAGTCTTTGTTTTTCTTACTTCTGCCTCTGGGTAGTAGGCCTTAGGATAAAAGTAGGGTGGTTGGCCCTTGGATGTTGCTGAGGTTTGGGTGAGTGGAGGGGAGCAGTCCCATAGTACCAATGGTATTACCTATATTAATTTTGTGTAGACACAACTCTGTCTCTGCAAATATTTATCTACACAGTAAAAACTATAATGTGCTACACTATTATTACATTTAAAAAGAATATATTTTGTGTTTGTATTATAAAATAATTTATGATTATGAGAGAAAATTTGGAAAATATATAAAAATACGAGCAAGTAAATGCTGGTAACATTTCAGGTTTCTTGCCTGACTCTTTTCAGTGCATCTTCATGTAGTTGTGATTCTTTGGTGGATATACTAATGTTTCCTGTTTTTTTTCCAGTTAACATTCCGTCATCCACATTTCCAGGTTCATTCAAATTTTTTAAAAAATATTTTTTGGGTAGCAAAACTTAATCTTATAGATACACTGCAATTAAAAAAATATGTCCCTATTATTTGAAAATTAGATGGTTTCAAAGTTTTAACTTTTATAAGTGACATCTGTATATACTTATTATTTTTTTTTTTTAGACAGGGTCTCACTATATAGTTGAGAATGACCTGGAACTCACTGTGTAGCCCAGGCTGGTCTCCAACTCATAGTGATCCTCCTACCTCAGCCTCCTGAGGGCTGGGATTCCAGGAGTGTGCCACCATGACTGGGTGTCTGTATATACTTTTATAGTATTTAGGATTATTTGCTTAGAACAAGTTCCTAGTAGTGTATTTCTGTGTTAAAGGTCCTGATAATTCTAAATCTATTTATGTATACTACTGTTCCATCACTTCTAGGCTTTTTGGCTAGGATCAAGTATACTACTGTTCCACCCCAAAAGGATCATACCGAATTATTCCCCACTTGTCACTCTTTAAGAGTGCTCATGTCATTTATACTCACTAACATGGTGGTGGCAGTGCTCACATTTTAGATAATTTCTTAATTTGATAGGGGATTAAAAAAGTCTCAAGACTAATTTCAAACATTGCTGTAAGGTGGAACATCTCTTATATACTTGCCAACTGGATGCATTTCCTCTCCAATGATGTGTTTATTCATGGTTCTGCTCCACATGTGTAAGAAGGATGCTAAAGACAGAGTCCTGAAGGTGACAGGATTTCCTTTGTGCCATGAAAGTACCCATGATCTGGCCTGCATCTGGCGTATGGTGAGGACCAGTGAGTCACACAGGTGCTTCTGCAACATACTCCCCAACTCTCACCCCCAAGCTCTTGGGCCTCCTGATTGTGCCAGTTCCTGGATCCACTCTGCAGAGACACAGGTCATTTTACTGAGCTCCAGAAGATAGAACAGAAATGAACAACAGCAGCAATAAAGGCACATCAGACCTCCATAGTTGGTAAATTGGAGGGATCACCACCTTCCATCAGAACTTTGACTTTCTTCAGAGAAAGGGCAAAGGGAACCTGTAGTAGAATCTTGTAGAGTTCAACCCTTCAGGAGATCAGGGAGCTCAATTCGGCCTTGCAGCCCAAATTCAGCCTGAGGCTCAGGGGTCTGCCATCAGCTAGCTGAGACTAAATGACTTAGTTCTGCACCAATGCTGCCCACATTATCTATTGTGACAGCAGAGATATACCCTGAAAGAGGCCCTTCAAATTCTTTTTCTTCTTTCTTTTCCTCATTCCATTCTGCAAATTCTTTCTTTTTTCTGTCTTTTTCTTCCCACGCAGTCTCCTGCTTGCTCATATTATTTGTCTTCCTTTCTGTTACTGTTCCTGCCCTAATTCAGATTTTTTCTTTTTTAAATTTTTCTTCTTTCTTTTCTTTTTGTCTTTCTGTTTCCTTCACTCAAGAGTCACCAGTTTCAAATGAAAGTGAGTCCCCATTACTGTTAAGTTATTTTATTCTTGTCCTTGTTTTTGCACTCTGTCTTTCCCGCTTGTCTTCAACAATTTCCTAAAGTTTGAATGGTCATCCTGTGTCCTCTGGCTTCACTTGAAACCATCTCCAATTCTTCTACCTATCTATTCCTCTCTTTGTAACTCCATCTAAGTCCCCATCCTTAAGGGAAAAGTTGCTATATGGAAGAGTTTATTCACTATAAACATATTTTGGGCTGCTCCTCAATTTTGATTTAATTCACATGATTTAAAGGTGACAGCTTAATAGCTACCACAAATGGTCAATTTTTAAGCTCTGCTTGATGCTATTGTGTTGCTGATTGTATCAATTGTGTTAAAGGGTTGTGATTGATTTAATGAGTTGTCCTTTCTGATATTATGAAAATGAGAATGTCTAGGAGTCATCAGACATTCAAAAGCTAAAGAGCAGCTATATCAGGAAGATCAAAGTCCTAACCCAGGAATTAAACCAAGGACAGCCTAAAAGTAAAAATAAAAATGAGAAAACACTTAAGCCAGATCCAAAGACAGAATTCCAGTTCATCAGTGGTGAACTCTAGGGGAAATGAGGTGGAAAAGTCTGACAATCAACTACCAGAACACCCTGAACTCATAGCACAGGAAGTAACAAAACAGATCAATCAGGCTCTAGAAAAATTCAAAACAGAAATATTTTCCCAGATAACTACAGAGATGGTGAGCACAATGAAAGACACAATTAGAGAATCTAGAACAGAAACTGACCAAAAAAAAAAAAATAGATGAGCTCAGGACCATGATAGAAGCCATGAAGGCCCAGCATAAGAAAGAAATGGAAACCATGAATGCCCAACATAGGAAAGAAATGGAATCAATGAAATAGATTCAAACAGATATCCAGGAGATTAAAAACTCTATTCAAATTTTTTGCAGCAGGATAAAAGAATGTGAAGATAGAATTTCAGATATAGAAGATAGGATTGCAGTCAGTGACTGTGAAAAAAGAGATCTCTTAAAAACAGTAAGGTATCATGAGAAATAAATCCAACAACTCCTAGATGATGCAAATAAGAGTAACATAAGACTGATAGGAATCCATGAAGTAACAGGAGAAAATACAAATGACATAAAAAAGCTCTTCACAGAATTAATGACAGAAAACTTCCCAGAGCAAAATAATTTGACATACAGATAAGTGAGGCCTATTAAAACTCCAACTAGCCATGATCAAAAAATCTACACCTAGACATATAATAGTCAAGATCCCAGAAACCCAACAAAAGAACAAAATACTACAAGCAGTTAGAGAAAAGAAACAAATCACATGCAAAGGAAAGCCCATCAGAATCACAGCAGACTTTTCAACACAAACCCTTAGGTCAAGGAGAGCCTGGACTGAGGTATTTCAAACAGTAAAAGAAAACAACCTCCAACCTAAGGTGATGTATCCTGCAAAACTCTCTTTCAAAATGGATGGGGAAATAAGATACTTCCATGACAAAGAACATCTGAGAAACTTCATGAATACCAAACCAGAACTCCAGACAATTCTAAACAATATCCTAGAAAAAGACAATGAAGGTCACAACAACATGAGGCCCAACAGAGCAAATCAATTAGGCAAGGCAAAGAAATTAAAGGAGGGTGGATTAAAAAGAGCCAACAACAGGATAATAACATGACAATAATGGTAGTACATATCAGTTATAACCATCAATGTTAATGGCCTCAATTCACCAATCAAGAGAAATAGACTGGCAAAATGGATTAAGAAGCAAAATCCAACAATATGTTGTATATAAGAAACTCACCTAGAGCAAAAAGAAACCCATAGACTGAAAGTGAAAGGATGCTATCTTATTCGCAGAAAAAGTAAATTTCAAACCAAAACTGATTAAGAGAGACAAAGAAGGCCACTATATCCTTGTAAAGGGAACAATTCAAGAGGAAGAGATGACAATTATAAATATATATGTACCAAATATTAATGCCCCCAACTACATAAAACAAATATTAACTAACATGAAAAACCAAATAAGCACTAATACAATTGTAGTGGGGGATCTACATGCCCCACTATCACAAATAGACAGATCATCTAGACCAAAAATCAACAACAAAATTCTATAACTGAACCAAGCTTTTGAACACGTGGACTTAATAGATGGCTATAGAGTGTTCCACTCCACAAAATCAGAATATACTTTCTTTTTGGCTGCACATGGGTCATTCTCCAAAATAGACCACACACTAGCTCATAAAACAGGTTTAAATAAATGCAAAGGAATCAAAGTTATCTCATGTATATTATCAGATCATAGTGTAATTAAGCTGGAGATCAATGGCATAAGAAACTGTAAGAACTTTACAAACACATGGAAATTGAACAACATTCTCCTGAACAACCAATGGGTCACAGAGGAAATTAAAGAAGAAATTAGTTTTTACAAATAAATGATAATGCCAATACAACATACAGGAATCTATGGGGCACAAAGAAAGCAATTCTATGTGGGAAATTCACAGCAGTGAATGCCCACACTAGGAAAACAGAGCAAGCTCAAACAAACAACCTAATAATGAATCTTAGACTCCTAGAAAAAGAAGACCAAGTAAAACTCAAAGCACATGCAAGGGAGGAAATTATAAAGATCAGAGCAGAAATCAATGTAATGGAAACTAAGAGAATGATACTAAAAAAAATCAATGAATCAAAGAGTTGTGTTTTTGAAAAAATAAATAAAATTGATAAACCATTAGCCAACCTTGTCAAAAAAAGGAAAGAAAAGGCTCAGATCCATGCAATTCAGAATGAAAAAGGTGAAGTCACACAGATCCAACAGAAATCCAGAGGATAGTCAATACCTACTTTGAGAACCTGTACTCTAACAAAATGGAAAACACAGAAGAAATGGACAGATTTCTAGATATTTATGAATTACCAAAGTTGAACAAAGAAGATAAAAAATTCTAAACACCCCAATTACAATCAGTGAAATGAAAAATGTAATTAAAAGTTTACCAATGAAGAAAAGC